TTGAACAAAAGTTATTCGGTATGAAGAGAAGAGGAATAAGCTGAGATTTTAGTGAGAGATACAAAGTGGTACAATATGGGTAGTGATGAGTTACAGAGAAAGTACTAAATTACGCTGGTCAGAACGATCACCACACTGCAAGCCGTTCGGCAGGTTGGCCTTTTTGGTCTGCATTTCGTCCACTGTCGAACCATATCTCTTTCACTGCAGCCGCAACACGGTCAACATTGCCCCGGCCAATCCTCCTGGCAGATTCACTATCTCCTCCAAAGGAAACTGGCCAATCGCAGCTGGGCGTATTTTGTGCACCATAAATCCCATGTGATTAGCTCAGAGATTCATAAGGACGATGTATGTAGGAGGATCCAACAGATCGAAGTGATTTTCGTGCCAACGTTATTCCAGGATTATGAATGAGGAATTCGTGTATCGATGTGACAGGCCTGCACTTAGTCTCTCTTACGTTAATTCTAAATCCATGTTAATGCATGAGGAAATCAGCAAAAAGTATCAAATCTAATGGTGATCCTCTGGTGGCTTCGATGACGATGATGGTGAACATGAGGCTGATGATAATGATGGTGACGAGGATGATGATGATGGCGATGTTTCGATTTTCGCGTGTCGTTTGTCAGTGCAATGGTTGAGGACTACGGTTGACTGCACGGTTGACGCAAATAAGCAGCTCGGAACTGAGTACACTTAAGCCGTAGATAAACGAGATTCAAAAAGCCGCGTGATCTTGAATCCATGATCACCTAATGTCGAGACACATCAAACCGCGTCAGGAAGTGAAACCACCTCATGTGAATGAGGTTTTGAGGTAGTTGGCACATTTGTGTGGCCCTTGCGAGGGAGATTCAGCGAAGCGGATATTCCCTCCCTCATCTGTAGGCGGCCTTTTGTTGAACAACCGGGTATTCACAGCAACTGGTTGGAAGAAATAGCACAGACAGGCACGGTTATGAGGCTTCGCGTCCAGCACCAATGTTTCATACAAATCTGGTATTATTTGGCCCATGGGAATATGAGTAAGAAAGCTCAAACTAATGGGGAGGGCTAATGTACAGTATTACCTGAAATTTCCCGGGGACGTGAAAACTCGATAGCTGGGTTATAACATAGAATAAACTGTCATCCAGCGTCGGTGGACCGTGATTCCATTTATCAACTGTTGTCTAGTTTATATGCGAGATTACACAACTTTGGATGCTGTTTAAAGAGGTACAAAAAACTTGTTTAGGCTAATTGGAATTGACATATTTCGGTTCATTACAAAATTATGAAGCCTAGAGAGGCTAAATGAAACAAGAATGGCTAACTAATTCGTAACTCACTGCATAGTTCATTACGTGGCAAAGCTCCAATTCTTTGGGGGACCGAATGCTTCAGACCAAAAGGGTTTCTCATAGGAAGAACGTTGACGTCTTGGTGAAACAGTGCTTCGCAAGCGATTGTTTACTGTTCAGGAAGCGGTTGAGCCGCTCGCTGGACTCAGTCATTGTCCCGTAAACTCTTCATCATCATTAGACCAGAAATCTTGAATGTCCACCAAAGGCCATCAGCCAAAATCTCCAGTCGCCTCAATCAGCGACTCAGTCTTCACTATTTGCCGCAATCAAACACACAGGAATTGCACGGCTGAAATGCAGATATCAGTGAGAAACACGTTCTCACGTTCAAAACGGTCCGTCTGGGCAACGTTTAGGAACAAAATCCATCCTTTCGATTTACGGATAGCGAGAGTAAACCCAGTGTGATTTACCAAACTCGAGGACAGCGGCGTCATCGTGAGCACGACGTAGCTCTAGATTCGCCTAATCATCTACAAATTAGAATTCTCAGACCTGATTCTCCATTGTCAAGCCCTGGCAGTTGAGGTCTACGGAGCAATGCTCACTGAAATATTGCAGGAGATCATCGGCTATTGCTGCTGAGGTAATTCAAAGCCTCAAATGCGGAAAGTGTTGCGTAACGGAGAACTCTAAGTACCTCTAAATTCGCCGCAAAGTGTACAACCCAGACAAATCTATCAGGTTTGTCGATTTTCAAGCTCTCGCAAGTTAGATCTAGGGAGTAACGTCCACTCAAATGTTTTACGAGACTGCCGAATATTTCATTTTCAAAAATTTACGAGATAACTCTGTGCCCTAAATGCCGACGATTGTGCACATGCATGTTCCAATCTACTTCGTGTGCGAAGGATACTGAGTGATTCGTCAGGGCACACTACCGCGAGATTGGGCAAAATGAACCGCGAATTTTTTTCGGGCCAAAACTTGGGTGTCGATGTGGTCGACTCGAAGCAAAACTGCATTTCCATTCGTGGTTCGCTGCTACCGGGACATCTGACCATAACGAAGCTTGATTAGGCGAATGGGAAACAAACGGTAATTGCTTATTGAACCAAAAAAAGATTCACTTTATTCTATCTATGAAAGCTTTGTTACAGGTGGAAGGAAGAAGGTCATCGCTGCGTAGTTGCTTATTAGAGAAACGTCAACTGAACACTCACAAACTAGTGTCAGTTGAGCAAAACCCTCATTTGAAACTTCTTTAAAATACCGAATATCCATCTCCTCTTTAAACGCGTCTTCCTGAACCTTCCTGGGTATTCATTACCTGCAACTAAAATGCAATCAAATGCTGCAAAGCGACTCCACAGTGTCCGTAAAACATCCCACGTTTCAGGAAACGCGAAGCGGATGAGAGAGAAATAACTATTAGCATACTCCATCAGTAACATGAAAAGTTAAGCAGGTATATGCTGGTATTGAATTTGGGAGCAGTGGGGACTGTCGTGGCTTGGGAAAAAACGGTTATTCATTTGCTATATGACTCAGAAGATCCTTTACCATGTGCAATTAGCGATAACTCAAGTGCAGCAGGAAGAATCTAAAATGCAATGTGGTTGTGTAGAAAAATATGGCGCGTCAATATATTGGTAGGACTTGATTGGTAGAATGGGTGTCTGTTTCAGAATACCGGTGAGGCGTTTGTGCACAGCGATCGTTTCTTCATCTACCAACATCCCCTCAGAAACGAACACATGATAAATGTGCATCGCTTTATTTTCTCGACAGATTGCTTGTCTAGCCATCCTTGTACATTCTAGTCATATCCGAATTCAGCAGAAATTTATGCCTTGGAATTTTCCGAATTTCTTGCATTCCCGAATAAGCTGTAGGATAGTGATCTCTCTGTGTATTAGGGACGGAAACTAACTTTGCTGAACTTAAAAGCTTTCAACCGGGTGTGATGTATAGCGGCATGGCACACTAGATGAGGTGAGCATAAACAACTATGTAGGTACTGTGATATTAATGAAAATCAAGTCTTCGTTATTCGTAAAAGGTGTGAGGTAATCGCAACCGATTAAAAAAATTGTGCTTGTGATTGCATACCTGAAAGAATGAGTTGCCATCACTCACGGTTTACACTGCACACAATGCAACGATATCAGAAACACCATCGCTCATCCTTGTGTCAGAAGAGAACCATGGAAGGCTACAAATCGGAGCGACGAGTTTCTGTACGTAACAGGGCTTGGATGAATAATGGCCTTATATCAACCATTTGATGATGATTTGATGATGTGTTGCAGTTGCCAGTTGATTGCGACACAACAATGTGTTCTGAGTGGAGGCACGGATCCGCAGCTTGAAACGAGTTTGAATTTCACTGATGCCCTTTTGTGATCCAGATAGCTGGTCTCTGAGCGTATTACTTCGAAAGTGACTGCAAGCCATTATTCGTAGATGGCTCTGAAGCGTGAACTACGCTACATATGGAATAGCAAAGATGAAGCCGAGTGATGAATTTTCGTTGAAACTCCTACGACGCCGTTGTTCTCACGATCATCCCAGGCATCTATACCAGTACCAAGATCGATGTGGAGGATGGTGACTTGGACGATGTTGCTGTTGTTGCCGGTGATGATGATGATGTTGACGTTGGTCCCAATGCTCAAATTCAGCTGCGAATGTTAGCAACATGCGGAAAATGAGGTTGAATTTGAGAAACGCGGCTTTAGTGCCTGTCAGTTATAATCAGTTTATTAGATGCGAAATGTAACAATGACAGATTTGTGATGATGACTGACAACATGCCAAGTCATACTGGCAGACTGAGGCGCCTAAGCAATAGCAACCTGGAACTCGTAATGCACCATCTACTGCAATCATGATCCTCTTTCCCGGATACACTTGTCCATAAGCTGACGAGTTTCATCCACCTTCTTGCCGGGAAAAATGGATGTTAATGTTGCCCGTTCATCAATTATGTGGCTGGCCGCCGTCGTTTAACAATCCAGGCTATCGGTGAAGTTTCTCAAGAAGTTCAAATAATCTGCAAATATTAAGCTGTGTGATGTGTGAAATATCAGTCAACTGTCCGATGGTCTACAGAAGGTGTGTCCCGATGAAAAGAGAACAGTTCTGAGGATGGATGGAAGCTAACAAAAATCTTGGATTGTTGTTGTTTCTGGTGGTTATCGCAATACATATACCCTTGCTCATTTGGAAAGACGGGATTAATATCAAGTCGGAAACCCACGTTGTTATGAATGTGTTTACAAC